TTTTGAACCTTTCAAAACGTAAATACTGCATATTAAGCATAGGAAAGAAAATTAATGTGCTGCATTTGCGAATTTATTTCCAGGTCAAAAAGGCAAAGGGGGACGAGGACTCTTGTAGCAGAATTGATCTTCTACATTTATAGGGTATGTTAAGAAGTTTGAAATGGCCTGAACACAAAAGAAAAACACTTTAGAAATGGATTAATTTTAGTTTCTCTGATAATCTCAGCTTTTGAATTTCCTCTTTTGATTTTAAATTTATGGCTTCAGTATGACATTACCAGAGTTGATTGCATTTTGCAGGTGGCATTCATGTGTTGTTACTTTATGTGTAGTATATTGTGGGCAATGGGTTACAATTTGTGTTAAAATGTTCCAAAATGACACAGTACTTCTTAATTAGACTTGCAAATGAGTAGTGCCTTTTTTTCAAGGAGAGAAAATAGTTAAAACATTATAGGAAGTTTTGTGCTTTTTTTTCCTTAGTTAGTATTGGGAGAAGTTTGCCATAAAGTTTTCTTCCTGAAACTTTGACAGTTTGTAGTAAGTTTTGATTTATATATGAAGTCATCATCTGACAATTCCAAATAAGTGTCTTTTTGAAGCATACCAGTTTTTTATGTGTCTATAGCCCAAAAAGAGTTTAACAGATTTATCTTTTTTTTTGGCATTCAAAACAGTAAAAAGTTGTCATTTCAATGGCATTTTTAATATTTTGAATAACCTAATAACTAAATTTAATAAGTTAATAATTGCCATCTTAATCATAGGTTTCAGTGATACAAACAGTACCCACAAATCACCTACACTTTTTTCAAAGGAAAACAATCATAAATAACAATAAAAAGAATAAGAAAACAACAAACAAAAACAAACTACAGTTAATGCTACCAATGTTAACACATAAAGTAGAAAAAGAAAACATGCAGTAACACAATTTTCAGATAAAATCTTTATACTTCTCAGACACAATAAGATCTAGAAGCAGATTCTAATTCTTATAAGTATTTTTCAGACCTAAACTGACCCTGTCCTTAGTTCCAGGAGGTTCAAAATTCCTATCATTTATTCCCATGGTAAATGTCCATTTCATACTGAATATGTAAATTCTTAAAAGAGCTCTAGTGATTTCATTTGGCTTGTAAGTAAAGACCTTGGATGTTTTTAAAGCTACATAATGTTTGGTGATGAAATTTTGTACTTATGAGTATTAAATTATGCCAAAAAGCCATTTACTTGATATTCTTTAAATACCATGGCACAATGCAACTAAACTCAGATTATAAACCATCTTAAATAACACTAATGCAATGTGCACTTAATGAACACTATAACTAACTTAATTTTCATGTAACAGATAACATCTGGGGGAAATGTATATTGGTAAGTTATGCAAAACTAATTTCTAGCGACCACATCTGTAGATGTTATTTATTGTATGTTCACTTAACAGTTCATTATTCTGTTTAGAAATCTATTCTCTTCTTTATTAGAGCTTTTAATGTACTCACCTTAGTTCAAATGGTCTGCTCATTATCAGAAAAAATATAAATGGCATTCACATGGAACAACATGATTGTTTTTATTATATCCATTTGTGTGCAAGCACTCAAAAATGGCAAGAGAAACACATTTATTGCTTTACATTCAAAGTAATATTTAGGAGGTATTTGAAAGTCAAGCAAAACCAATCATTTGGCCAAATGATGTACATGTATAATCAGAAACTCCTGATTTTTAATCTCAGCATTAGGCCTCAGGCAAGTCACTTAAAGTCTTTCTCTTTGTTTTCTGATCTGAAGATTATGGGTGCTATTCTCTTATAGACTAAAAGAGGGGGTTGCTAAATCAGAGTCCCAAATAGGAGTGTTTTTTTAATAAACATGCTTGATCCTTTTTCTGTTTTTATTTTAAAGATTTAAGAGGTAACATATTATACTTTTGAGGAAAAAATATGAGACAATTACAGTTCTACAGGAATGTATAAAATAGTTATAAAACTAGCTTTATTTAATTTGCTTCAACTATTCATAGACTTGAGGAAATTATAACGTTCTTTCAGAAAATCTAACTTAATAAAGCTGACCATGTCTTTCTGTTTTAAATAGATTTTATTACAGAACCAGTGATGTTGTAAAACATGAGGTTTTGTTAAAAAAAAATACAAAGGCCTAATTGTATTTTTTAAAGAAAGTATTGCATCAGACGGTTTCATTTAAACATATTTGCTGGCTCTGTGCTCTCACCACAATTATTGATTCTAATTTTCCTTCAACTTGTTTTTTAAAAAGGCTACTTAATGGGGGAAAAAATCACTATGATGCTTCTGGGCACTATGTTTATTTCAAACTATGTGTTTGACAGTGTACCTTCTTACTACTAATGAAATGACTTTATATTTACCCTTATCTGAAATTGGGACATTCCTTTCCCTTATGGTATCTTACTAACGTAGCCAAATGTAACTCTTTGTGAAAGAGAAAAATGTAGCTGTGGTTTGGTTCATTGATATTATGCAAAACACCCTGAAGTAAAGAAATTCTCACTGCCAGTTTTTGTGCATGAATTAAATCAAATGAATAGCTGTATGAGCTACACTCATAAAATTCAAGGAAAAGAAAAGCCCAACTCTCAGTCAGAGCTTCAGGTTCTTGGGATAAATAGGAGCTTCACTCCACCAAAGAAGTGATGATGTGGAGCTGAGAAGTACACACACACACACACACACACACACTCACACACACACACAGAGGCACACACACAGACACACAGAGACACACATACACACACACACAGACACACACACACACAGACACAGACACACAGAAGACACAGAGACACACACACACGTACCCATACACACGCAGACACACACATACACATACGCAGACACACACACACACACACACAGACACACACACAGACACACACACCGACACACAGAGGCACACACACACACAGACACACACACACACTCACACACAGAGACACACACACCGACACACAGAGGCACACACAGACACGTACACACACACACAGACACACTCACACACAGACACAGACACACAGAAGACACAGAGACACACACACACATACACGCAGACACACACATACACATACACACGCAGACACAGACACACACACACACACACACACACCCCTTATTTATTTTACCTATAATATTTCAGAGGATTTAAAATATATTTAGCCGTTTCATTTTTCTAGCTTGGTAAAATGAAGAGCAATATAAGATGCAGGAGGGTAAAAAAGAAGTGTGGTGAAAAAATGGTACAAATAATTTTGTGGGAAGATGAAAATGCTTGTATGTCCCATTTCGGGAAAAAAACAGTATCTTATGAAAGTGAAGAGAGAAAAGGATTGTTCTCATATTTTTTTTTGATCTTCTATTTCGATTAACATTTAGTCAACTTAAGATAGACAATCTGGAATGATGTCATCTAATAGAATAAAGATTAAGTGCTTAATAATATCAGTTAGTATTGGGAAACTAACAAATGTTAGTTAGTTGCCACAAATGTGACAACATGGTGACATATTACAGTTTACCGAAAACTGCATCGGCCACAAAGTCAGCACACCAGGGTTTAACTTCCATCCCTTTCACCAAGTAATTATTTGACCTTAAGACAATCATTAAATCTCTTGATTTCCAAATTGCCTTGACTGTAAAGTTACGGCACTTCAGTCCTTCTGTATATTTATACTAAGCAGCAACTTCCTATAAAATCAAATTAAAATTAGTAATATGAATTCAAGGCAAAATACATTGCTATGACCAAGCAATAACTTAGCCTCCAGTTCATTCTAAAACCTATCTAAATCAAAAATATTAATATGTAAAAGATGAAGTATTATAACATGTAAGTTTATTTGAAATATTGTAGAGAAGTTAGAAATGAATGTGATGATTTCAGGGTGTTTCCAGGCCCCATGGGATGCTAATTATTTGGTGAGTTTACACATTTCTAGATTTTTGTCTTAAAACTTGTAGGCTTAAAGACTGTCAGCATACAGTGGGTAGCTTCATCTTAGGGCCACAAAAACAAGCTCCCGAGACCTCACTAAATAAACTAGAACATGGATTTATTGATTTCCAATGAGGAATGTAACAGGCATGAAGATCAGAGCACTCAACTGGGTGTGTCTATAGATCATCTGAGATGGGAAGGCACAGATTACGATTGGAACGTTGCCTTTTAAACATGAAATCAGAGCAAGAGGAACCGTTTAGATGCATCAGGTGTTTAATGCCATCAGTACCCTCATCTCCGCTCTCTCCCCCAAGTCATGGTGAGATGGACACCGCGTAAGGTGACTTCTTTAACTCGTTTCATTTCCACTGTTGACCACCTGTCACTCTTCCTCTGGTTGGCACTCTTACCACAGAATTATTAAAATGCTCACAGTGGCGTCTTGCCTTGCCCTAGGTGTTTCTGCTTGACTTTGCAAATCTCCTCTCTGATTTACTGTATGCTGGCTATGTACCTTAACCTTGAGAGCCTTTATTGTCCTCGTCACCAGGTTCTCTTGGCCACTTCACCATTGTCTCCAAGAACAACTGTGCTCTACTGAGTAATATCAATCACCATTAGGCTGTTATTGAGTGTTTTAAGCGCGAAACCCTCTGCCAGAACTGGAGAAGATGCACAGAGGATCTAAAACATGGTCTCTACCTCCGGAGAGCTGGTAGACAGGAGGAAGGGGACACTGACCCATGAAACAACTCAAGATCAAGGCAGTACAAAATGAAGTTCTAAACTCCATGGTACAGAAAAATTAGACAGTGGGGGAAAGTAAAATGCAAGTTATCAGGTACAGAGCACAAAAAGCACTAGAGAGCTAAGAGGTCGGCGGCGTCAAGAATTCAGAGGCGACGGCACTTAAAAAACAATAGACTTGGAACTTTATAAATATTGCCTGAAATTGTGGTTACTCATCAAAAGACTTTGTCATAATACAGCTCTTCTCTTCCCCACTAGCAAGTGATAGAGGTTGTGAAGCCTGCAGGTCACCCCTTCCCTGATCCTCTAGAAGAAGGAATCTCATTTGATATTTACTCAACATTCATAGAGCCACCTCCAATACTGGATATGGAAATGAAGGTATATTTCCTTGTGTCTCTTAATTCACCCTATCTGAGCATTATATTCTCTAGAGGATAGGAGAGAAAGAACAAAATGCTCTTCTATCTTCTTTCCCTCTGATTTTTCCTAGCTAAATATAAATATTTCTTCTGGCGTTGATTCACAAGTGGGCCAGCTGAGGGTGGTTCATCAATTTTAATTACTTCTACTCCATCTTCCCCGATCTCCACCTTCATTTTCCCCAGAGTAGGTAAAAGCAGCATTACTTGATTTGTCATGATGCTCATGAATAATGAAAATGCAGGAAAACGTCAAATCAAAATCCTTCCAGATTGACATCATTTCTGATAGAAAACTACCCGAGAGAAACCTTTACTATCAGTAAAGGCTCCAGAAATCACTTGAGTGTTGTTTACTTTTAATATTCTAGGGGTTGAATCAAGAACAAGGCCCTGAAGAGTCCCAGCCAGAAGCTGACACTTCAGAGACTGATCCATTAGTTGGTTTCACCATTGAAGATATAAAATTGGTGCTGGGTCAAGTCACAGATGACATTTTAATCAGCATTCAGGTACTCAGCCTTGATGGTGTGCTCACTTACTTTATTACTGGTTAATTAGCCAACCTCAACCTTAATGTCTATAAACACTACCCACGTTCTGCCAGCGAGAGTGACGCTGATGATGGAGGAGTTCCATATAACATCTCCACATAACTCTCAGTTGAGTCATCTGAGACTCGGTAAGATCACAAAATACATTCACCAACAGCACATAGTGTGGTGCGTTATCAGTTTACAGATCATTCAGCATTGAGACCCAAAAAATAACATGATGAAGACTTCATGCCCAGTCATGCTGTAAGCAATTGCTCATGCAAGAGTAATGGGAGAACATTTCTAAATAGTAAACACGAAAGCTCAGACCATAATTCTTAGCTAAGACCTTTCACCGAATGCCTACAGAGAGGCTTTCATATCTTTGAACTCCTTCTCAGATGGTTTGCTCCTTTTCACATACCACTAAGAGCTAATGGCTATGTATATTAATGGTGTTATCACTGACACCAATGGCTGCATGAAAATGGTGATGGCAACAGCCATCTCAGTAGCAACTGCCAATGATGAACCAGTTGGCTAAGTTCTACGCTTAATGTATTTTCCCCATCCAAAAACAAACAAACAAACAAAACATTTCTACCTCAACACAAAGGCTTGCACCATTTCCTAGGCAAAATGATTAAATGAGTGATTTCCATATTTTGAGAGGATTTATAATTTCTTGTGGCAATAACAATGAATCAGTAGGACAACATACTGCATGTTTAAAATATGAATGCATCTAAGGGAAGGATTTAGTTGTTTTCTGGACATGAGACTATATATAAAAGCACACTGTATTAACAACTAATTTAGAAGGAGCAAAAGATTAGCTTGGCAATAGCATACCTTGTTAGTTGTTTAATCATCAAATGTTAATGTGCTATTTACATGAATATTTAATGATTCAGTGCCAACAGAACCAGCCAAAGTCCTCGGCTTAATAAGGGGTGTTTAGCGTTTACCAGAAATAGTGAAAGGACACATTTTACACAAAGCTTTATTGTTAACAACCCTATGAATGTAATAACTGGTTACTGTGTAGAAGGGCAGAATGCAGTTGAACTAAGCTAAGTTCAGAACATATCTCCTTTTTAGATTTGATAACATTTCATCTAAATATAGTTTATGTATAATCATGGCCCTGGGCTCCTTTGTGATCCTGCGGCTCTGAAATTATCACCGAAGGACTACTAGACAGTAATAGAATTGTTTGCAGGCCCCCCAAATTGAAAACATCTTTACCAAGGCCATGTTCCATGTAGTGAGCAGTATGTTTTTAACTATTCATTGAAAAAAGTTTTTTAAATTAAAGGCTGCAGCATTTATATCACTACTCTCTATAGCAGAAAGAATATGATTGCTATATGTGTGTGTTATTGTCCCACTGGCCTGCAGCCATCTTTACTGAGCTTGGAAGTCCATTAGCTGGCTCATCTAAATGTAATTAGGCATAGAAAGAACTTGGACCAGAGGTGAGGGATACAGATCTTTCAGGTGCCTTGATCATTTCCACGTTAAGGAGATTCATGGACATTAGCCTGGGCCAAATTATTGCCAATTTTTCAATAAAATTGCATGGTGATGTGGATTGATACAGTGTTTCAAGACAGCAAACCCCTCTATGTATTTTCTCTCAGAAATCCTAGTAAACTCCATGCGAATTAGGCAGGCACTTTACCTGATAAAAAAATTGAAAACTTAGAGACACAGAAAGATTGTCATTTGTCCAGGGTTTCCAGGGTCAGAAACTGATGAAAGGCCCTGACTGGGAGCTGTGAACTGGGTTCTAGTTCTAATTCCAGTGTTATCCACAGAAACCACATAACGTCTAATATCATGACCAGACTACTTTGGTTTTTAATACTCCAGTGGTGTGGCACTTTTTCAGTGTTTACTCTTGTGTCTTGGTCAAATTCCAAGTCGGGTAATTGCGCTCTGCTTACCTAAATTTCTCCCCCTGTTTTAGATGGGTAAGTTATTTTCCACTTCTAAAACCTCCTTCCAGTGTTCCTGGCTCTTAAAACTGTCTCATCGCTGTTCAAAGGTAGCCACTTGTCAGTGGTCAGTGTATATAAACCTTTTGAAGACACTGACTTGCTGTAGGAACATTTAATGAATTATTATTTGTAAAATGTTTTAAATTTTCCAATAGTTTTTTCTCCTTTATTTAAAAATCATACTCTTATTATAATTTTTGTAGGAAAAGGCAGTAGAGAATTCATGTTTTAAGTACAGTTTTTTCAGAGCTTCTCCTCCAGCATGGTTACAGGCATATTTCACTTTCTGTAGTTCAGAAATTTCTGACAGTAGTGTGAATCCTTAAATTTTTTATGTTAATCTACTTACTTTCCCATTGACTCACTTTATAATTTTAGAAATTTATTAAGAATGAAGTTATCTTGGCCCTGAGATGTTAATTAAAATTATACTGAATAGAGCAAACATTTTAAGCTTATATAGTTTAGGTATTTTAATTTTAAAGATACATTCAAAATGAAATTAGTTTGGCCCTGAGTTGTGTAATAAAAATTATACCCAATGGAGCAAACCTTAATATATTTAAAGAATTATATTTCAGAGAAATATGAATGCTAGCACTAAATTCTTTCATTAAATGTTGGCTGTTGGCCCTGTCTAAGCAAAATAATGTGAAAACCTCGAGGGAAGTTTGCCATCTTGGGACCATAGGTATTTTTAGGTCAACTTGAATTTCCAGGTTAGAAAAGCTGAGTGGGAAATCACCTCAAGGAGTGATCACTGAAAGGGTATTGAACTCAGGTCATGGATTTTCCATTCTTTCCTAAAAGGAAGTAGAGCCATACCCTATCCTGGGGGTTGTAGGATAGCATGTCTGGTCAGCAGTGTTCTGAGGATTAACACGGAGACACCATAGACCAATGACAACCTGTTCTTGACCAGACGCGGAGTCTTGTCATCTAACGCCCTATCACCATGGTCTAGAGATCTGAGACATGTCCCTCTGTCAGCTCTAGCAGGTGTGCACCTGACCTTCAGGAGCCTTTTCCCCAGAGCACACACTTGTGTCAGTGAATTCTGTCTCAGTGAAATACCAGAAAGACCTCCAGGTTAATGTGAAAACCTTGATGAGACAGTGAAACAGAAGCTGGAAGATGATAATACATCTGTTCTTAGTTGAAAAGAAATGAGATTATTGGTGGATATAGAATACATTAATTGAAAGAGGGGAGAGTCAATTGTCTAGTTAGAGCAGTGCTTCCCGATGCTTTGGAATTGTAACAAGATCATTTCTTCAAACCATTTCATTCCCTGTATGGTCTAATATATAGCATGCCTTAAAGAAGCAGAAGTAATCTATTTTTAAAACATATCACAACATCCTATTAATGAAGTAGTATAACATCGGTGAATATATCACAAAATTAGTAGTTGGAATTATGAATTTAAAAGCTAGCATACATGAAATTTAACATACTTAATTTTAAACTACTTAACTTTTCAGATAAGAACTAAAGGTGGTTGAGTGGCTTTCCCAAGGCCACAGAGCTAAACTAATCCCTAGGCCTCCACACTTCTAGACCCTGGCTCCTTTCAGCTCTTCCAATTTTATGCCTGCGGGGATTAGTGGCCCCTGAAATATGACAGTTCTTTTGTAACCTGGAGGACCATGTTCATCCCTCATTGCCTCCTTCACCCAGCCACCAAGAAAGGAAAAGATGAGAAGCTAGAGGCCAGACTTGACCCCAGGGCTTGATAATCAAACTTGAGCCAAAAAAGATCGATATTCACACGAGAACCCAGAATTATTGACACCAGTGTGATCTTTTCAGAAATAGCAACTCTGGGCTTTCCTGGTGGCGCAGTGGTTGAGAGTCCGCTTGCCGATGCAGGGGACACGGGTTCGTCCGGGAAGATCCCACATGCCGCGGAGCGGCTGGGCCCGTGAGCCATGGCCGCTGAGCCTGCGCGTCCGGAGTCTGTGCTCCGCAACGGCAGAGGCCACAACAGTGAGAGGCCCGCGTACCACAAAAAAAGAAATAGCAACTCTGAACTGAAAATCTCATCAGATAAGGCAACCAGGTGGACCTTTGAAAGCTACCTATTATAATTACATTTATAAATAAAGAAATAAGAATGAAGTTACATCTGGACCAAAAACAGTATTTGATTTTTTAAATTTCTTCTATAAAAATTAAAATAATACATTTCTCAAAATACAGTTACCCTGATGTCCTCAAATTAGGTTATAGATATTAATATTTTAAACTTCAAATTACTTATTAACATTTATGTGTATGAACTACTCCTCATACACTTGTCAACTATTTTAAATCACCTCAACAAAAACACCAGTTTTACCATGCCCCACCACTGGTTTCTCTATACATAGTTTTATAGCCCATCATGAAAAAAGGAAGACATTTCCAGGGCTACACATGTTCAGATACTGTGAAAATATTTTTGGAATTATGCAGGTAGCAATGTTAGTCCACAGAATATCTCTGCCAGAAGCTCAGTGCTATCACAGCCACTGCAAACACTAAAACCTGTCAGCAACTGCTTACTTTTTTCTACCAAAACTGTACCACAAAGTGGCATAATTCCAGGAGTTATGTGTGTGAAGAATACTCTTTAATTGTGAGAATCATTCTAATTGTGAAATTATTTGTGTTGTTATTTCACAACAGAAGGTTTCTGGGATCTCATTTAGAATGTATTACGCAGGAAACAAAAACATCCATTGCAAAGGGGTGGCAGTACCAACAGCACTGCAATAACTGAGCCTAGAGCAGTTATTCTGATTCGGTGCTTATTGGTAAAGTCTGTCTGAAAATGCAGATAAATTAGCCTATCTTCTAACACAAGGCTATGTGAAAAATGGCTGTCCAAATACCACTTCCTGTTCATAGCAGACATGCTATACATTGGGAATGTGCAGAGAAATATGATAAAGTGTTATCACATCACTACAGGCTGAAACACGGCTATGTCTGCAAAACAGGAAGGTGTGTGAGGGATAATGTCTGTCTTTAGGCACTATAGTATGTCAAAACCACAAAGACAATGTGCAGCAAAAGATAGCTCCATCCTAACCACTTTTTTATGACTGTCTTCACAGACCAAGATAAACGAAAAGCTGCAAATACAGGAAGAGGCCTTTAATGCACGAACAGAAAAATTGAAAAAGGCCTGAGGGCTCCAAACAAGGAGAGTGATGCTAAACTTCACAGAAACAAACAAAACCAGCCAGAATAATAGACTCTCTAGAGCACCAGATCGCCTTCATTTAGCTGGGAGAGGAAAAGCAAGCCCCAATTTTTATTATCCTAACGAATTAGAAAAGTATTGGCCCCAATCTTGCTACCTCCTGTCCCATAGCAGCCTCTGAATTTATTACACTGTGTGCAATAAGAACATTTTGTATATAAGAGTTTGGAGAATTATATATAAAAATACAATGACTTTTACAATACTCCTTTGACATTTTGACTAGTAAATGTTAATCATCTTCACAGCTTTTTAAAATAAAGAAAAAACATAATAATTTTATCCACACTGACCCAAATGAACTGCCACGTTGCTGAAGCTTTGTGAACATAGACCACCACCACACTGCCGAGGATAAAACTTGCTAAACAATAGCAATTCAAATGCATATACTAGGGTTTTTTTTCCTCCTTAAATCAGTTGGTTTTCTTATTTAAATGTTTCAGTGTGAAACCAATTTTATGAAATGATATAATGCAGTTTGAAGCACTTTATTCTGTACTGTATTTGTTATTTCTAATCTTGTTACTCTCCCAGGAGAATACATGACCTATATAAAAAGAAGCAATGTATAAATGGTTATTAAAGACCAACCTATATATAGATTGTAAAAATCTTAAATACAAATCAAACTCACAGAGCTCTTAAAATTAACCATTATACTGCAGTAGAATGATTGAAACCATCTCAAGCCTTTAAATACCTTTATTAAAATATAATTTCAAAAGAAAATATCCATTTGCTGACTGATTGTCCCTAGTTGGACAAACTAAATTAACTACTACCTCGGCCCTTTCCCAATTTCTGAGTCTTCTGAGTATTCTAGAGTGTAGAGCCTTGCTAGGAGGGGACCATTCTTCCAAGAAGTTTCCAGTTTATACTGGAAGCAGATGTATTTGCATCTGGGTGGCACTTGGTCAAATATGTTCTGTCTGTGCTCTGGCCTTGTCCTATAACCTTACCTACTTACTCTACCTGTACCGAAGGGATTTGCCCAAAATGTATTCACCTGGGGCCGAGACAGATCCGGCAGCATGTGGTATTTTTTTAACTACACTGACCATCAAAATAAGAGAAGTCCTTAAGATGAAACCGTGTTTACTGTTCATGAAGTTCCGAGTCTGGAAGGCCGGGAGATGCGCCGATATGTTTCTTCCTTGAGCTATCCTTCCTAACTGAAAACGCTGACGGCCATAGGAGATCACTAGTAGGGCTCACAAGTCTTGATTTCGCCAAGCAGTCTCGTTCCAGAGGAAATAGAGGCGAAACTAGAGAACCCACAAATAGGGAATAAAGGAGCTTCTCGAAATCACCAAACACAGCTTCAAATGCCATCGTTGGCACAGAGTGGACCTCCATTTCCAATAAAGAGTTCTTATTTTGAGCAAGGGTACCAAGAGTTTAAAACTGAATAACAAATAGCAGTAAGATCCCTAAAAGCTACACAAAGACAATATCCTATAAGCGTGCCGAAAGCCTGCCTCTGGAGTAAGACTTCCAGGTAGCGTCACCTGACTTGTGTGTGACTTCGGACAGGCTGTTCACCCTCTACTTGCTCATCTACTAAATGAGGATAATACTTATTTTTGAGGTAGTTATGAGAACTCAATAAATTCGTTTTAAAGGACGTTTGTTCTAAGGTTTGGTTTCTGTTTACCTCCTAGGATAACCCAAAAACCACTGCCCATCCCTAATACCCACTGTCCAGTTATTGGATCAGCCTCTTTGCCAGAATTCCCAGCCATCTCTGTCTCTCCACTGGAACCTGTGGATCGATACATCCTCCCATGGTAACTACTTTGCCACCCTGTTTTCTTACATCTTTCATGTTGGAGCAGCCCAGGGATCCCTGAGGCAGCCTGGCTGTAACATCTAATAATGATAGGAGAAAGAGCAATTGTAGTGGCAGTAGCTAATTCACAGTCTCTGCTCTTTAAATTAATTTTGTTGATAAAGGAATATGTGTACTCCATTACCAAAAAAAGAAAAAAGTGTAGACGATGAAAAATACATTTCAGGGCTTCCCTGGTGGCGCAGTGGTTAAGAATCCACCTGCCGATGCAGGGGGACATGGGTTCAAGCCCTGGGCCGGGAAGATCCCACATGCCGCAGAGCAACTAAGCCCGTGTGCCACAACTACTGAGCCTGTGCTCTAGAGCCCGTGAGCCACAACTACTGAGTCCACGTGCCACAACTACTGAAGCCCACGCGCCTAGAGCCCGTGCTCCGCAACAGGAGAAGCCACCGCAATGAGAAGCCCGTGCACCGCAAGGAGGAGTAGCCCCAGCTCGCCGCAACTAGAGCAGCAACGAAGACCCAACGCAGCCAAAAAATAAAAAAATAAAAATAAATTTCACCCTAGCTAGGTACCTTCATTTCTCTTCCCATGAGGCAACCACAGCTTCCAGTAAGACCGTAAGACCATAGGAAAGTGTTTGCCCATGTAAACAATTTTTTGCCCATTTAAACAATTGGATGCTTGTATAGAGGGGTCTTTTTTTTTAAAACACAATTTGAATTGTTCTTTACATTGCTTTTCTCGTCAAACAACACATCGTAAGATAATTCTCTATCAGTACTTTTTACGACCGTACAGTATTTTATTTTAGCAATTCCATAACTTTTTAACTAGTTCTATCTATGAACTTTTTATTGTTTTCAGTACCTTGCTATGACAATCTGTGTGAACATGTATGATTATACCTAAAGGATGAATTCCTAGAGAGGGAAATTTCTAGGTCAGATTTAGTTGTGTTTCCAGTTTTGATAGATTGTCAGAGTGCTTTCCAAGGATATTTTACCAACAGCATATGATAACTCTTTCTCTACATCATTACTAACAGATGCATTGGCCAATTTTTTAGTGTTCTGATAGAAAATACTGTCAGACTATTGTTTTAATTTGCTTTTATTGTTTTACTCCACAAGGACTGAGCACCTTCCATATGTTTATAAGCAGATTTAAATATATACATATATATGTGTGTATGTGTATTAATCCCCCTAATAACCCTAAGAGATAAACAGATAGATATTATTGGCCTCATTTTATAGTTAAGGAGCCTGAAGCTTAAAGAGATTTTTTTTTTTTTTTTTAAATTTTTGGCTGCATTGGGTCTTCATTGCTGCGCACGGGCCTTTCTCTAGTTGCGGTGAGCGGGGGTTACTCTTCGTTGCAGTGCACGGGCTTCTCATTGCAGTGGCTTCTCTTTTTGCGGAGCACGGGCTCTCGGCACGCGGGCTTCAGTAGTTGTGGCATGAGGGCTCAGTAGTTGTGGCTCGCGGACTCCAGAGCGCAGGCTCAGTAGTTGTGGTGCACGGGCTTCGTTCCTCCACGGCATGTGGGATATTCCCCGACCAAGGGTCGAACCCGTGTCCCCTGCATTGGCAGGTGGATTGTTAACCACTGCACCACCAGTGAAGTAACTTTTTTTTAACTTATTTATTGAGAGATTATTAACTTGAACCAAATTGCACAATTGATAATTGATAGATGGATCAGGACTTGAAATCCAGGTCTGACCTATTTTACAGATGAGGAAACTGGAACATAGAAAAAAATTAAGTAACTTTCCCATGATTACACAGCAAGTAAAGTGGTAGAACCAGGTTTTGAACTTAGGCCTGTGTGATGACAAAACCCATATACTTTACCTCTACCTTCATCTAGCTATCTCACAGTCGATATGAAACAAAGTGAAAACTGACCTTTCTTTTTGTTTTTAGTTATAATAAGGTAACAAACTTGTTTGTATTGTAAGCATATTAAATATTTAGAAAATTTATGCAGGGATGGAATGTATAACCCAGATCCATTCATTCGTTCATTTGTGTGCTGTATATTCATTGAGTACCTACCACGTGCCAGGGCATTTTAGTAGTGAGCCAAACAGACATGGTCTCTGCCCTAATAATCTAGGAGAGGGAGACAGCTAATACTAACTGTGATAAAGACAAGCTTCAGGGAATTATAGGAGTATTGAACAAAGGAGCTTGATCTAGTCTGGGAAGTCAGGTTAGCTTCCTATGAGTTTTGCCACTTGGGCTGTGATCTCAGGGATAGGTAGAATTTAACTAGACAGAAGAAGGTGGAGGAAGATGGATTTCAGGCAGAGAAGGAAGCATGTGCAAAGTCCCTGGGACACAGAGTGAGGCTGAACGATTGGTCACAGCCAGAGCTCTCTTGGGGACCTGTAGCCCACATTACAGATTTTTACTTTTAACCTAAAAGCAGTGGGAACTTGTTGATAAGTTTTAAGTAGCAAGTGACGTCAGATTAGTATTTTTAAAAAGGTCATCTCGCTGGTGCCAGGACTTCTGTACATTGGAGACATGGAAGAGAGAGTATTCTCATAAAAGCTATAGCTCCACTTTTTAGCAATTTCTAAGAGTGGGAGAAATAAAGAAAATTTTGGGCTTTTTTAAAGTCACAGGGTCCGCCTACCCTAAGCACTCTTCAGCACAAAGGCAGCCCTCTGAGGAGCCAGCTGAAAAACCATCCCCAACCTCTCACTTAGACAAGTAGCAACCTTTCTCTTATCATCCACAGTGAGATAGCTTCTTTCCATTTGCAGGAATAATTTGGGGTGATTTTTTACTCACCCCCATGAAAAGTTTCAAAGAGAAAATATATTCACTATGTTACAGACAAGCCACAGACTGCCACTATTTCAGGTACCTGCAGGCACCGTTGTACCTAAATATAGCTGCAGAGTCATTTTTCCAAAATCCACATATAAAGCCCCTATTTCTCTCCTCCATTTGATTGGAACCGTTCAACCATCCTGCTAGATAATAAGTTTGCATGTTCTTAGATTGCATTTCATTATGCTTCAGTTCCCCTAGAGAAGAAACGTGCTCCTTTTCCCAACAGTTGTAGAGGAGAAATACTTGTGACATCTCAAGTTTCAGAGTCTCAGGAAGCCGGCCCTCTTCTGGACATCAAAGTCTTATTTTTTCCTGGAGATTGATTTGTTAAATAAGAGAAGTCAGGACCTCTTTGCAGCAGCCAAAACACCTATGAATTTAGGTTTCCTAAGCAAAAAGGAATCTAAATCAAAATAATACCATCTTGTTGGAATTCAAATTTCAAAACTAAGAGAGAATACTAAAAATTTATTTTGCGTTTAGGGTCCCTTTCTCGTTCATGGAACTACCCTCAGTGGAGATCAGTTCATCACTTTTTTGTCAGAGCTGCCAGAGTTTTGTGTGTTTTAATTTTTAGCTTCAGGGAATGTTGAGTGCAGATGTCTCCAATGGTCATTTTGGTGTTTGTTTCTTTCTTTTTTTTTTTTTTAATTTAACCTGTTATTTATTCAGAGCACCTTCTAGGTACTGGGATGAAATAAGACAGATAAGGTCCTTGACTTCATGGAGTTCATGGAATTGAGGCTATCCAGCAACTTGAAATCAAGCTTGGTAATGGTTACCTGTCATCCTATCATCTAGAAAGGGTTAAATAGCCTAGATATTAATATTTTCATTGAATACCAATCTCAAAATCAAAAGGAGGAAAAACCAGCCCTTGTTCTTATACCAGTGAACATTTATGTTCAGTCACCGTCAAAACATGACCTTCATAAAACCAAGGCCCAAATTCAAACAGAATAAAAGTAACATAGTACTCATCTTCCAGTCCCATACGGGAGTTAATCCCACAATGACTAACAAAATATTTATGGATTTTATCTCCTTATCTTTTTCTGTATAACCATTGATTCTCTTATTTTTTATTAATGTTATCCAATCCCCTTTCAGCTGTGATTGGACTTCAAGGATTAGGATAAAGTTAAAGTTTGCACTGAATTTGTAATAACTAAAAATTCAGGACAAAAGAATAAAATATGTTTCTACTCTACTTGCCAGATCCAGAACTTGTAACATCTGCTTAGGAAACATAGCTGAGTGATTGAACACCCATAATGACCCACAGGATTCAATTTTAAAATAGTCGGACCATAGGACCATGGTGACGAAAGTCTTAAACATCATCTAGTTCAATCCTTTCCAGATGAAGAAACTAAGGCCCCAAATAGTAAAAACCTCTGTGATGACATGGCTAATTTTTGGCAGGGCCCAAGCTATCAGTTCTTCATTCATTCATTCATTCATTCAAGTATGCTTATATTCAACAAATATTTACTGAGTATCTTTTGTGGGTAAGAAACAGACATAACCGCTGACCTCATGGAGTTTATAATCTAGTGGAAGAGGTGGATTTTAATCAATCACACAAACAATTTTAGAAGAATAACTGTAATGGGTGCTGTCGGGCAGGGAGTTATACTCCACAATGAGAGCTGATTTAGAGGAATTTGAACAAATCAAGGAAAGTTCCCCTGGGAGAGTCACATTTAAAGGGTGAGTAGGCACTAATTAGGCAAAGAAGGGAGAAAAGAGTTTTTAGGCAAAGGGAACAGCAAGTGCAAAATCCCTATGAAAAGAGAACATGGGATGATATCTCATTGTAGTTTTGATTTGCATTTCTCTAATGATTAATGTTGTTGAGCATTCTTTCATGTGTTTGTTGGCAATCTGTATATCTTCTTTGGAGAAATGTCTATTTAGGTCTTCTGTCCATTTTCACACCGGTCAGAATGGCCATCATCAAAAAATCTAGAAACAATAAATGCTGGAGAGGGTGTGGAGAAAAGGGAACACTCTTGCACTGTTGGTGGGAATGTAAATTGATACAGCCACTATGGGGAACAGTATGGAGGTTCCTTAAAAAACTAAAGATAGAACTACCATACGACCCAGCAATCCCACTACTGGGCATATACCCTGAGAA